CCGCCTCTCCTGCTGGCAGCCCCATCCGGGCAGGGAGTCCCGGCCCAGCTCCTGCTTCATCCCCTTCTGCTCACTCACATTCTCCGAGGGAGGCACACGGCCCCCATGGCTAACTCAGGGCTCAACCACTCCTGGCCGGCCCTCTCCAAGCTGTGGCTGAAGCGGTGGGCCTTCAAGAGAGGTAAGGAGGCAAGGCTCCCTGGACGGCCTGCCCACCGTCCCGCCTCGAGCCTTTCCTCTGCCCGGGACACAGACTCTGCCTGAGCCAGCCCCAAATTCCATGACCCCTGGCTCCCCTGGGCCCCACAGTGCATCAGGGACTTGTGGGTCCCTCTTGCCTCAGAGGAAACGTCTCCCCAGGCTCGGCCAGGAACTGTCTCAGGAGGCAAATTTGCAGGAGAATCTGCCGCAGAACACCCTCAGAACTCCCTTGGGGCAGCCTGGTGGCTTCCTGGGGGTTCTGGCTGCTCTTTGTTCCTGCACAGCTGCAGGACAGAGGCTCAGGGAGGCTGCAAAGAGAGGAGTTTGAGATCCCAGGGGGTCTGATAGACATTTCCCTCAAACACACACACACATTGGCTGAGGGACCCCCGGGGTCCCGAGGCCTCAGTTTACCTCTGTGGGGGCTGGAGAGGCCCTTGTCTCATATCCCTTAAGGACTCAGTGAATTGCTTTTGCAAAAAGATACTTCTCCTTAAATCTCAGGAGGAGTTTAGTCCTTGAAGATAACCAGACAGGGGTTGGGGGACAGTGCGATTGGACCACCTGTGCCCTCCGCCTTTGCATAAGCCCCTCTCTGTCAGGCTGGCCCCTCTGCTCAGCCTCAAGTCCTGGCCACCATCGCTTGCATGAGCCAAGTGCTAGTTCAGGGTGGCAGTGAGTGTCTGCGCAGGAGACTCATTCATTCCACAGGCTCTCCTTGAGAGGCTGTCATGTTCCAGGCACCATCCCGGAGGAGACGGGAACATCAGGGGACGTGGTGGCTGGGGCTGGGGAGAAAGAGGGTGGCCTGGAGGCTGGGATGCAATAGGAGAGCAGTGACAATGATGGAAGTTGCTGCCGGGTGTTGAGCCCTCGTGAAGTTGGGCTCAGAGAGGTTGAGTGACTTGCTCAAGGTCACACAGCAAGTACACACTAGAGGAGCCAGATTTAAAACCAGTTCCGTTCTAAGGTTCTGCCCAGTGAACAAAGCTGCCAGTGTGGGCAGCCAGAGGGCCTGGGGAGGGTTTTTAAACCCACCGGTGGATGGCAATGCTAGAGAATTAGTGCATCAGCCGCAGATCACCGAGGTGCCCATCTGTGAGCTAGGTCCTGATGAAGGGATCTACCCTCTCCTGCCTGCCTGGACCACCCCATCTTTGTGCCCAGGCAGGAGGAGTGAGCTGTGGGAACCAGTGGTGACCCTTACACCCTTTTATGGCTGGTGCTGTGGGGGCTACTGGTGGAAGAGGCTGTCTGGGACCTGAATCCAGGCTGACGGGAGGCTCTTTAGAGACAAGAGAGAAGCGGGGTGGGGAGGGAGGGGGCGGGGCAGAGAGTGACTCCTTGACAGCGTCCTTCCTGTCTTCAGCCCTGGGGGGCATAGGATGAAGGGCCTTTTTGTGCCCCACTTAAGCTCTGTAACTGGCTATCTGGGCCCCTGATGGGACTTCCTGGGAAAGTGGTGGGGTTGGATTTGGGGAGGCAGACAAGGCTGGGGGAGGGAGGTTGGGACCTCCAGGGAGGTTCCCTGGGGCAGAGCCCCCAACTGCCCCTTCCTCTCAGTTGTTCCAATTACCCGTTCCTTCTATTCTTTTTCATTCATTCCCCAAAATATAAGTGTGTATGTAATGTATGCATTCTGTGCCTCACCTTGGTTTCTTTCTTTCCTGGTTTCTCTGCCACAATTCTGCCCCCCTTCTGTCTCCATCTCTCCCCACCTCATCCCCTCAGAATGCCATCTTCTGAGTGTAAAGCATCATTGCCTCTGGGCACTGCCACATCACCTATCCACCCGACTATCTATCCATCCATCCATCCATCCATCCATCCATCCATCCATCCATCCATCTAACCATCCATCCAACCATTCCTCTATCTAAACATCCATCCACCCATCCACCTAATCATCCATCCAGTCACCCACCCATTCATCCATCCAACCAACCAGCCAGCCAACTATCCATTCATCTAGCCAGCCAGCCAGCTAGTTAACTATCCAACCATCCATCCATCCATCTAACCATCCACCCATCTATCTAACAATCCATTCATCCATCCAACCCTCTACCTATTCACTCATCTATCCATTCATCAGCTCACCACAGGATAGCCTGGTGGTTACAAGCCCTTGCTTTGGAGTCATAAATACCTGGGTTCACATCCCAATTCTGCCTCTTACCAGCCTGGGGTGGCCTTCAGCAAGTCAGTACATCTCTCTGAGCCTCAGTTTCCCTTCTGTAAAGAGGGAAACCTCAGTACTCCATGAGATCCCTGCCCAGTGAAGCAGGAAGACGCTGCAGCCTCTCCTGAGGCCCCCGGGGGACTTGGTGGAGGGAAGGTACTGCCCTTCTGGCTGGCTTCTCCCCCGCGAGTTCCCATCAGCCTCCAGGACCCACCCCACATCTGGCTTTTCTCCTCTTCACAGGCTGCTTGTTTTGTTCTGACGTTTCCCTGAGTCATAGATGCTGCTTCAGCTTCAGGGTGAGGAAGGCAAGAAATGCAAGACTTCACGAGAGCAGCAGAACAGAGTCCCTCAACCAGCCTGGGAGGGTAGCTGGGAATGCAGTGATGGAGGAAACCATGGCATTGTCCTGCAGTGTGGCAGGCCAAGGTCATCAAAGGCTCATTTACCTTGAAGGGAATGGAGCTGGAGCCCCACATGCACCCAATCCATCAAAGTTTCCAAGGAGTCCCAGCAATTTTTTTTGGTGACAACTTTATTGAGATATAATTCACACAGCATACAAGTTACCCATTTAACATGTACAGCTCAATGGGTTTTAGTGTATTCACAGCATTGTGCAACCATCACCACAATCAATTTTAGAACATTTTCATCACTCCCCAAAGAAACCCATATCCTTTAGCTGTCACCTCATAATCTCCCACTTCCACACACACTCACACACCCCAGCCTTAGGCAATCACTAGTCTATTTTCCATCTCTGAAGATTCACCTATTCTGGATGTTTCATATAAATGGAGTCACATAGCCTATGGTCTTGTTGACTGGCTTCTTTGCTTACAATGTTTTCAAGGTTCATCTACGTTGTAGCGTGTGTCAGAATTTCATTCTTTTTCATGGATGAATACTATTCCATTGCATGCATGCACCACATTTTGTGTATCCATTCATCTGTTGAGGGACATTTGGGTTGTTCTCACTTTTTGGCTATTCTGAATAATGCCACCATGAGCAATCATGTACAAGTTTTTAGGTGGACGTATGTTTTCATTTCTCTTGGGTATAGACCTAGGAGTGGAATGGCTGGGTGATATCATAACTCTGTTTTTTTGGTTTTTTGTGTTTTTTGAGGAACTGCCAAGCTGTTTTCCAACCTCTTTGGTTTCTTGCACACATGCACGTGTGTATGTAACCCCTTTTCATTCGCTTATTTATGAAGTGTGTTTATTTCTGTCTTGGCTGCTTTCTGCTGTTCTCGCTACCTCCCAGAGACCCCAGCAACAAACTGTATTCTTTTTCTTAAAGAAGGTGCCTCCAAAGTGTGTAAGCTTCAGGCCTCCAAAACTTGGGTTAGTGTTTGTAGGTACGCCCCTGGGAGGAAAGGGGACGTGAGTGGGTACGGATAGCCCCACCTATCCCCCTCTCTCTTCTCACCCCACTTCAGGATAGAAAGAGACATCATCACCCCATTCCTATGGTTATAGGCACAGTGGCCACAAAAATGTATCACCCAACCCATACCCTTTGGACAGAGAAAGAGGGTACTGCTAATAGCTACCTTGACTCAGTAGCATTAACTAGGACTGTCCCCAGCAAACCAGGACATGGGGTCACCCAACCATAGGGGACCCAAGATATGGAGTGAACAGGGACCTAACTCGGTGCTTTCCGAAGGCATCCGCCATCCCCCTCCCCCCCTCCACATCTGCCCCGCCTGAAACAGCTACTGCTCTCACTGCGAACGTGCTGATCAGTCCCTCCACGTATCCCTCCCCACGGGGATTCCAGCAGGCAGGGGTGACGTGCTCTAGCTACACCGTAGGGGGCAGGCGGAAAGAGAAGGGGATGCCCACTCCTCCCGCAGAAAGGGGCTCAGTCCAAGACCTGAGATCAAGCCAGGACACTCTCCTGACCTGGAGGGCAAGGAAGGTGGCGAAGACATGCCAAGGACCCCGGGATAGTGCTTGACACATGCTGAGTCCCCATATCCTCACCAAGCCCTGAAAGGTGGGCATTGTCACACCCACCATCCAGGTGAGGAAACAGAGGCTCAGAGAGGTGCCTTCCCCAAAGGTGTGCAACCACTAATGGCAGGTCCAGGAAAGGACACAGTCTGGTTGACCGCAAAGCTCTTGTTTTCTCCTCTATATCAGGCCACCCAGAGGTCCGCGGAACTCAACGTACAATAAAGGGGCAAGAGGCAGCTTGAAGTTCAACCAGCGCACACCCTCCAAATGTGGGCAGTGGGCACTTGCATTTGGTCTTGGGGGTCCATTCTATCAAATGAGAGCTTTTGCTAGAGCAGGCATGACAAGTCAATTTCACCTCATGAGCCAACTCAGCTGGAGACGGCTGCCAGCAATGGGGTGCTGAGAAGAATTCCAAGGGGACAAATGGATCGATCGTGACTGATTGGAAATGTCTGCCATAGGCTCAGGATGGGGAAGTGGTGGCATGTATGTTGGCCTAAAGATTGTTGGGACCATCCTCCCCCGCCATCCCATTTCATAGATGGGAAAACTGAGGCCCAGGGAGAGCAGCGGCAGATGCAGAACTCAGAGCTCCTTGGGCCTCCCAGCTTAGCCCTGAGACCTTGACCCTCCTTTCTCCACAGGCCCTGAGACCAAGCCATGTGTCCAGCCTTTTGACTCTGGAGCCACAGCCTCAGCCACCAAGAGCAGCAGTGGACTCTGGAGGCCTGAGAACCCGGACTTCTTCTCTACCATGGAAGATGAGCAGGCAGGTGTCTGACTACTGAGATGGGCAGCAGCTGATGACAACAGTGGCAGCAAGCACACTTGCTTTAGCGCCTGCATTTTACCAGGCCCTTTGTGTGCATTATTTCAGGCAAATCTCATTAAAACTTGGCAAAGTAGCTATTATCCTGTTTTATAGAAGAGGAAACTGGAATCCTTTCTGGAACAAGAAGAGAGAGCGAGGGATGAGTGGAGGGGTAGGTGGATGAATGGATGGAAGGAAGAAAGGATGGACAGAGGGATGGAAGGAAGGAAGGAAGGAGGAAGAAAGGAAGGAAGGAAGGAAGGAAGAAGGAAGAAGGAAGGAAGGAGGAAGGAAGGGAGGAAGGGAGGAAGAAGGAAGGAAGAAGGAAGGAAGGAGGAAGGAAGGAAGGGACGGCATGGATGGAAGATTGGTTAGATGGGTGGGTGGTTGGGTAGATGGATGGAGGAGATGAATGGATGGATGGATGGGTGGATGAAAAGGGAAGAGGAAAGGGAGGAAGGGAGGAAGGGCTGGCATGGATGAATGGAATGGAAGGGCAGTTAGATGGGTGGGTGGGTAAGTGGGTGGATAAATGGATGGATGAAAAGGGAGGAAAAAGCTCCCACAGGGAGCTCTGAGCTAGAACAGCCCAAAGGCGGGCTGGGATGGCCAAGCCATTGTGCTCCCACATGAATCAGTCACGGCCTGTGGACTGCCCAGGAAGGGGTGTGTCTTCCCCGCTGATAGCTGGCAGCCCTCTGCTGACCCACAGCCCACCAGCATCTGGGGCAACATGTCCTCACTGAAGCGGGGTCTGAGTCGCATCTTAATCCACCCACCACGCTACGGAAGGAAGGTCTGTTACGGTTAAACCACACAGGGCATTCTGTGTATCCACCCGTGTCATTTTGTAGAAGAGGACACTGGGGGCCAAGCAGAGAATGAATTGGCCCAAGTGTCAGAGAGGATTCAGGGTAAACAGAGACTAGGACTCAAATTCAGTTATAGGTCCTTCCAGGGTCTGGACCTATAGGAACGGTGGGCGGAGGCCACCATAATCCCTCCCCCAGGCGATCTGCACAGGTGTCCTCCTGTTCCACCAGCCTTCGTCTTGCCCCCTTCCAAGCCCATCTGGGCTCTGCATCTTGTGTAATCTTTCTGAAGGCACATCATAACCCTCCAGCCTTCCTACCGCCATTGTTTGGAATTTAGAGATTAAATCCTTACTTGACCCACCAGGCCTGCTGATCGGCCCTCACTCCCCCACCCTACACACCTCCAGCCATAAGGAACTCTTGCCAGTTGTTGGAAGGCATCTGAACATCCTGTTCTTCCAATGCCCTGAGTGCCCTCACCTGCAGCCTCAGCCCAGCCAACTCCTACTCATCCCTCAGGGCTTCACTCGCTGTCACTTCCTCCAGGAAGCTCCCCCTGATTTCTTTCTTTTCTTTTTCTTTTTTTTTTTTTTTTTACATTTAGTAGGACTTTTTGTCAAGTCTACTAACTTCTAAGATCTTTTTAAAATGTATGAAACTTGACCAAAACGGCCAGTTCAAGAAATCATTTACCTATCATGTGGAGACTATTTTATGTGGTCGGAAATAGAATTTTGGGGTTTTGTTTTGGCTATGGAAGCTGTCTAAAGATGGTCTAACTTTTCTAATTGAGTTGTACTTAGTAGCTTTTTCACACCAATGATCACTCTAGGTTTTGTACTTGTAACATTTCTAAGTAAAATTCCAATATTCCGATCCAGAATTCCTGTCCCTCTGGACAGAGTCAGCTGGCCCCCCTCAATTTTTCTCCAGTCTGCTCTCTGGAACATTCTACCATACTTGATTATAATCGCTGGGTTTAATCATCAGTGTTCTCCAGGCAGCTCCAGGAGGACAGGGGACTGACTGTGAATCCATCTGGGGTGATCATCAACTTGCTCAGAGGAAGGACCCTGACTCCCAAAATATAAAAACTTAAAACATGAAAACAACCACCCCCATAATATCTGCTCCCATCAATTGAGGGATTGCAACCTGCGTACCTTGTCTTATTTTACCTGCACAGCAATCCTACGAGAAGGAAGCATTCCACCCATTTTAGAGATGAGAATACGGAGGCCCAGAGAGGTTTAGGAACTTTCCTGAGGTCGCGCTGAGCTAATAAAAGCCATAGCAGCAATGCAGACCTTAACGAAGGCCTTTCTACCAGGCTGTCACTCAAGAACCCTCTGCTCTGTTATTCACTTGCTAGTTCATTTGAAATCAATTCTCTTAATTACATGATGAAATGGAAGCAGGGAAACAATACGCTTGATGTTGCTTTGGTGTGCTATTTTTTCTTAATATACAACAAGATAAATAACTATTTACGTTTTTTAAAAAACGTTTAGCCCTGTACTACTTAAATCTGCACGCGGTAAGCCCTTCTGCAGAGTGAGGATTCCTGGCACATCTCTGGGTCTGAGTGGCGGAGCCCATCCCCCAAGGCTCCCCAGGGCCCAGGGAGCCTGAATTTATTGCATCCTCTCTGGGGCGTCAGGGCCAGCCTACAATGTTTAGTCAGATGCCCAGAAGGGCCCCCATTGGCTGGCTTCCATCTTTTCTCACCCAGGAAATGTTGGAGGAAAGGTACAACCCCAGCAAAGGGTGAGGCCTCCTCCCCCTCCCTCCCTGAGTGTACCTGCTGGCGAGGAGCTAGGACAGCCTGTCCCGCAGCTGCCCCCACCCCCGCCACCCCCAGCTCTGGCCGGGCTCCCACTCCTGCCTCTGATGAGGGAGGCCAGATGCAGGAGAGGGAGGGGGGCCCAGCCCAAGCCAAGAGGCTGTCCTGACGTGTTTATATTTACAGCAGGATGAAAACCAGAGATACAAGGAAACTTTTCGGGCAGTGGCAAAGGAGACAGGAGTCAGGTCGTCCAGGCAACAGGGACGAGATTGGAATGACTTGGGGGAAAGAGACCATCGAAGTCACAGGAGGCGCAGGCGAACCAGCTGGGGCCAAGGGTGTGGGTATTTAGACAGAAACTGAAGAAGAGGGACCCTGCTGTTCAAAGGACAGAGAGGGGAAGAGGAGGCAGAGAAGGAGCAGCCAGGGAGGCGGGAAGGAAACAAGATCAATGGGTGCAAAGGACAGATTCCAGAAGAAGGGGGGGCCATGGAAGACAGTATGGCGAGTCTTCAAAAAGTCAAACACAGAATGACCATGTGATCCAACAATCCCACTTCTGGGTATCTACCCAAAGCAGAGACTCAAACAGATACTGTTCACCCACCTTCATAACAGGATGATTCACAGTAGCCAAAGGGTGGAAGCAACCCAAGTGTCCATCGATGGATAAATGGATAAAGAAAATGTGGTTTTGTTTATATCTATACAGTGTGGTCCATCTATACAATGGAATGTTATTCAGCCTTAAAAAGGAATGAAATTCTGAGACACGCTAGAATACGGATGGACCCTGAAAACATTATGCTAAGTGAAATAAACCAGACACAAAAGGGTACATATTGCGTGATTCCACTTAGATGAGGTCTCTAGAATAGGCAAATTCATAGAAACAGACAGTAAATTAGACATTACCAGTGGCTGGAGGAGGCGAGAATGGGGAGTTTGTATTTAATGGGGACAGAGTCTCTGCTTGGGGTGATGAAAAAGTTCTGGAGATGGATGGTGGGGAGGGTTGCACAACAATGTGGATGTACTTAATGCCACTGAATGGTACACTCAAAAATGGTTAAAGGGTAAGGTTTATGTTATGTATATTTTACCACAATAAAATGAAGAAGGGAAGGGTCAAATCTGTAGGGAGCTCCAAGTGGGTGAGGCCGGGGGAAAAAAAGCCAGACCCCACGTAGCAATTCTTTTCCCATTCTGAGGCAGGTATGGACACTGCCACCTGCCTCCTGCCAGCTGAGATCCACAGCTGACCAAGGGCCTGGCTCTCAGCTGGAGGGTATCTCTGCTTTACATTGGAAGCTTCTCTGAAAATCCCCCACATCAAGCTTTGCCAGGGGTGTCCCTGTCTTCCTTCACCTAGTAAAGGCTGGCCCTGCATGACCGAGTGGTCCAGGGGTAGGGTTGCAAGACTGAGCAAATAAAATTGCAGGACACTCAGTTAGATTTGAATGACAAATATTGCAATGTTTGGGATATACTTATACTAAAAAAAAAAATTTGTTGTTTATCTGAAATTCAAATTTAACCGAGTGTTCTGTGTTTTAGCTTGCATTCGTATCTGGGGGTCCTCTTGTAGAGTTCATGAAGGGGGCCAAGGCCCCTGACTGGCCCCTTCCGCCACCAATTGGGACAGTCCATCAAGGGCTGCCTGAGATCACATAGAGGCCTGAGGCCACATCTCAGCGTTGGCTTTGCATGGAACAATGAGAGAGGCCCACCCACCCACCTACCCCCCAAATCCTGTCTGAGGACAGTCCTAACAAAGGCCTGGAAACGGACAGTCCCTGTCCTGCAGATCCCAACAGCCCAGAGTAGGAACACCTTACCTAGCCTCAAGGAGTCAGGAAGACAGCCCGGAGGGCATGCCCAAGTTGGGTTTTGAAGGATGAGTAGGAGTTCACCAGGCTGATTCTAGGTGGGCTGGGAGAAAAGGTTCTCCAAAGAGAGGAAAAGGCAGGTATCCTGGCTGGAAAAAGTGGCGAATAGAATGACTGGAAGGGAGAGAGAGGAGAAGAGCAAAGGAAGCAGATGAAAAAGAAAGAGAGAGAGGAGCCAGAAGAGTAAGAAAGAGCACAGACCTTGGATCCAGACAGATCTGAGTTTGAGTCTGGCTCTGCCATTTATTGACTGTGTGGCCCAGGGCGAGTCCTTTTTGCTCCCAGAGCCTGAGTCTCCGATCTGGAAGTGGAGGGACAACGCCCCCTGGTGGATCTGCGGTGGGATTAGGGATAACGCACGCTTAGCTCCTGGTGCTCTGGTGATGTGGTAGCATCATTGTCCGCGTCTGTGTGTCTTCCGTGTCAGCGCCTCATGGGCGGCTGGCGACAGGAGGCTGCAGAGGGGCCAGAAGCGGGAGGCGGCTGACCCCGGAGCCTTTCGTACTGTGCTGAGAAGCCTGGGCTTTTACCTCTTGGGGAGGGGGCTCAGATGTTCCAGCCTCCCCTCTGGTAGGAGGGAGCAGGGCCGGAAATGGGGTGCGGGGTCCGCCACTGTCATTTCTTTTCACGTTTTGATCATTTTGTTCACCGTGGATCTCCTTGCATTACTTTTGAGGCTGTTTTAAAATACCGCCTTCAGATGGGGTTTATCTTGATTCTGGAGACTTGTGGCACCCCCTGCAATTTTGTGCCCCAGGCTCCTGCCTCACCTGCTTGTAGTCCCTACTTGAGAGGGAGACTTAGGGTCCAGGAGAGCGGTGAGGGGGCACCCCAAGCAGCCCAGGGACCAGCCTAGGAGCCCCGACACCTGGAATGCCACCCTGAGCATCAAGGATAACTTACCTCTGTGCAGCGCTTTTACAAATTGCTTTTGTGGGCATGATCTTACATCGGGGGAGCGGGCAGGGCAGAGGTTATGATGTCCATTTCACAATCAGATGGAACTCAGCGAGAGAGGTGGACTCAGGTGTGGGAGCCCAGACTTCCAGCCCCTTTTTTGGGATAAGGCCGGACAGTCGAACCCCCATTCCACCCCACCTGCCATGGGAAGGGCGCCGAGCCCAGGCTGGATGGGAGGGGATAGGCAGGATCGGGTGCTGGGGCCTCTGCTGCCCTCAGTCAATGTCTTCTTCTCCCCACTGGCCTACAGGAGGATGCTATTCCAGGGCGGCTCAGCGAGAGCGCGGAGGACCTCAGCCTGGACTTGAGGGCCCTCCAGGGCAGCGAGTACTTCCAGGATCTGGGCTTTGGGGCCCCTTCCCACAGCGAGTCTGGGGAGGCCAGGGGCAGCAGCCCACCTGCCACAGAAGCGGGAGGAGATTCGCCCTTCTCCAGCGCAGCAGAAGCCCAGAGCCCACCGCGGAGACGCAGCTGGGAGAGGTCCCGGAGCTGCTCGGAGAGCTGGCAGAGGTCAGCCCCCATGGCTGCTGTGACACCCCCCCAGGGGTGGCCAGGACATGCTGCCCCTTGCCTCTAGCTCCAGGGCCACTGTGGGTGTCTGTACTGTCAGAGGCAGCCCCAAAAGGCCCTCTCCCGTGACACAAATGCACGCCCACACCAGAGCCTGTGTGGGCACACAAATCCACTTGCACAGACAAGTACGCGCACGCCGAAGGAGCACGCACAAGCCCCGACTGAAGACCGCGCCAGCGTTCTGCAGGCGCCTGCAAACGCAAGTGTGCACACGTGCCCGCACACACCGGGTGTCCACACTCACGCTCAACCTGCAAGCTTGCACACTCACCTTGCTCCAACCCGTACATAGAAGCCTAAATGTGTGACTTCTTGCACACCGGTTGCACACATATGTGCAAAGCCGCAGATGCGCTTGTGATCAAAACACAGCTGTGTGCTCGACTCCACACATGCCACGGTAGCGGCCCCAAACAGTGCAGGGGGGTCTTTAGCCACACCCACCTGTCTCCCTCCACCCTTCCCAAGTCACCCCAAATAAATGTAGTCTGTGTAGACAGGGTGGGCCTGCGATGCAAATGCAGCATCAGCAGATCCCCCCACCAGGTTCCCCTCTGATATGGGGAGATCTGGACACCTCTCTGTGCCCTGCCCCAGAAGGGTCACCTGCAGGTTCCCCCAAGCCCCCGGATGCCTGGCAGGCTAGGGATGGGGCAGCAGCCAGAGGGAAGGGACCCACTGAAGCCCTGACTCTCTCCTTTCTTCCACCATGCTCAGCCTCGAGGCCTCGGCTGCGAATGAGGGGCCCTCTCTCCCTCGGACGCTGGCCAGCCTTGCTCTGAACCTGCCGGGAGAGGGCCTGCAGGCCTGGACCCAAGAGGGTCTGCCTGGGGGCGGGACCCCAGCAGAACACTCTGGCAAGGTGGGTGCAACCTGCAACCCCCCCCCGACAATAACACACCTCTGGGCCCAGGCACCAGTGCTGCGGGGGCGGGAAGGAGAACCTTACCCATAGTTAGTGGGATTTACCTGTCATGGCGGGGTTGTCTGTGGGGTAGCCCATGACTGGTGAGTCGCTGAGCCCTGAGATGGCAGCCCAGGCCTGAGGGTCTTCACTGGGGTGGGGTCCACGGCAGTGGATCTTCGGCCACAAGTGCAACCCATGGCCTGGGGGGCTAGGGGGCATCTCTGCAGCTCTGCAGCTGGAAGGAAGCCCAGTCTGTGAGTGGAGTCTGCAACTGGCCAGGGCTTGTCTCGGGTCTGGGATTCCAGCCCGTGGCTGGGGAGTGCATGCTCTGGGCTGTGGCCTGTGCCTGGGGCATCTTTGCTCACGACCATGACGTGGGGGAAATTCCTGACCTCAGCTGGAATCTGTGGCTCAGAATTTCAGGGCTCCTGCCCACAGCTGGGGGGAAGGTCCTCGGCCAGGACTGCCATCCATGGCTGGGGAGGGGGTGGCTCCAGCCCTTGGTTGCTATGGAGAGCCAGCCCTCTGCTTGAGCCTTGTGGCTGAGGGGAGCCCCTAGCTGCAGCTGGAGGCTGTGGCTGGGGACCCTCGATCTGGGGATACTGCCTGCGGCCTGGGACTGCCTTCCCGGCTTAGCGAGATGCTTATTCCCCGCAGGAATGTGACAGCCCTGAGAAAAGAGTGAGGTCACAGTCAGTTCCCATGTCCTTCGATGAGATCAGCTTCCTGGAAATCTCTCCAGCGTTGGATGTGCCCACTCCAGATGTCCAAGGTAGCCAGGCCTGGGGGGTTCCCTCATTCAAAACAGGTAGCGGAGGGGGTTTCTGCTGGAGAGTGTCTTGGATGGGGCCCCAGCTGCACCCCAGAGAAAAGAAAGGAGCTGGTGGAGGGGGCTTAGGGTCCCCTGGGCAGAATGCTGGGGTCCTGGGGAAGGGTAGGCAGAGAAGGGGAGGGGCTTCCAGCATCTGCCCTTCCTCTCCTGGGGGGCCTCGAGCTGGGTGTATTGCACCTTTGCAATGACTTCGCCCCCCTAGGGCTCTCTCTTCTCTCTCTGACTCTGTCTCTTTCTTTATCTCCCTCTTTGTCTCTGAATCTCCATCCCAAGATCTCATGTCTCTGGTGTCAGACAGACCTGCAGTCTAAACCCACGTCTAGCACTTTCTAGCAAGCCTCAGAGCCTCTGCAGCTTTCTCTATAAAATGGGACAATAAGCGTGTCTCCCTAGGGCCACTTGGAGGGTTCCCTGAGCGCATGCGTGCAAAGTGTTTAGTGCATCGTAAGAGCTCGTAAGATGCTGAGGACACCTCCGTCCCTGGGTCTCTGCCCTCTTGGCACCTTTCCTCCCAGAGAGTGGCAGGCCCCATCTGGACCATCTCTAGTTCTGCAGGGGTGGGTTGGGGGGGACCCGAGCAGGGCTGGTCCCACCCCAGAGGCCCCTCACACCTGTGCCTGCTGGGGCGGGGCTGCTTCCAGGCCTGGAGCCGCCTGTGCTGGAGTGCGTGGAAAAGGACCACGTGGAGCCGGATCATGTGTGAGTGTCCGCCCCGCGGAGGGGAAGGGACCCCAGTGGACAGCCAGGGGGTCACGGCTGGGGTTCCTCTCAGTCCCCCCATAGCCTCCGTCTTCTCTCCTCCACCATCCTTCTCCCAGGGGGGAGACCCAGGTGCCTCAGAAAGGTTCCGGACACAGCATCGGGAGAGGGGCTGGGGCTCCGGGTTGGGGTCTGCATCAGGACCCGGGGCCTGGTGGGGCAATTGCGGCTCGTCCTTGGGAATATGTCTGCAATCAGGGGCAACCGTGGGCTCTTTCTATCTCCCATCCAGGCTGATCGTCCAGCAGGTGCTTCAAGAACTTCGACAGTATCATGGGTAAGTGGGAGGGGGACAGGTGTGCGGGGACAGGTGTGGGAGAGGACAGATGTGGGAGACAGGTTGTGGAGAAGTGTGGGGAACACAAGTTTGGGGGAACAAGTGTGGAGGGACAGTTGTAGAGGAAGAAATATGAGAGACAGTTATGGAAGTGGACAGGTGTGGGAGTGGACAGATGTGGGGGTGGACAGGTGTAGGGGTAGACAGATGTGGGGGTGGACAGGTGTGGGGGTGGACAGGTGTAGGGGTGGACAGGTGTGGGGGTGGACAGGTGTGGGGGTGGACAGGTGTGGGAGTGGACACGTGTGGGGGTGGACAGGTGTGGGGGTGGACAGGTGTGGGAGTGGACAGATGTGGAGGTGGACAGATGTTGGAGTGGACAGGTGTGGGGGTGGACAGGTGTGGGATGGACAGGTGTAGGGGTGGACAGGTGTGGGAGTGGACAGGTGTGGGAGTGGGTAGGCGTGGGGGTGGACAGGTGTGGGAGTGGACAGATGTGGAGGTGGACAGATGTTGGAGTGGACAGGTGTGGGGGTGGACAGGTGTGGGGGTGGACAGGTATAGGAGTTGGTCAGGTATGGGGGACAGGTGTGGGGAAGACAGGAAGAAATAAGAGAAAAACAGAGGTAGGAAAGGTGGGAGGAGGAACTGGTGTGGGAAGGACAGGGGACACGAGCTGGGGATCGAGTTGCCACTAGCCCGTGGAGTACCTCTGTACAAATAAGAAAAGGTACCTGTTTCCCAAGACACTCCCTCTGTTAGAAAATCTTCCTGACGTGCTGACTTGGTTCAATCAAGACGTGTTAGCGCCCTCTGCTGGGCAGCCTGCCACAGTGACCACGTCTACAAGTCCACATGCAGAAACGGTGGGCTCTCCGACGTGGCACCAGGTGCACACCTGTCCACAAAAATCCTGAGAGAGAGAGTCAGGAGAGGGGGCAGCTAGGAGAGGAGGAGCTGCTGACCCAGGTGTCTGTCCCTTCCAATCCTGCAGGGCCCGGCAGAGGGCTCGCCTGTCTGTCAGCCCAGGAGGAGCCCCGTCGAGCCTCACCTGGTTTGAGTTCCTGTCCGAGTAAGTGCACAGAGCTGCCGCAGGGGGGAGTTGTGGGCGGGGGTGGCCCTGGATTTGCACAAGCGTTTCCCGGTGGACCTCTGTACCTGGCCCTGTGCTGAGAGCAGGAGCTGGGGCCCCCATCCTTTCACTGGAACCACCAGGGCAAGGGTAGGGGTGGCAAGGTCTTCTCATACACCCTAGGAGGACAGAGGAAGACTTCCTGGTGGAGGTGACAGCTTGAGCTGGGTTCCTATGGAAGAGTAGGAGTTCACCAATATGCGGAGATGAGGATGGGGGAAAGAAAAAGATGCCCTGCAGGGGAACTGCAAAGCCTAGTAATGGTGTCAGGGTGGGGCTGGAAGGAGGGAAGTCAGCAGAGGCCAGATCACCTCTGTAAAGCTAAGGGGCCCAGCTTTCTGGTGACTGATGATGGTGAGCACAGACAGGGCTGGGGGGCGGCCACGGGGCACAGACTGGAGGTGTAGAATCTCCCTCTGGGGAATAGATTTTGCAGGGTTTGTATTTTGACTGACTGAATAAGTATTTATTAAGTGAGAGTATGCCAGTATGTAATCCAGGAGAGGCATGACAGTGATCTGAGGCTGGAGTGTTGTAGGGGAGAAGGGAGCAGGATTTGAGAGTTATCCCACAGGAAGAATGGGCAAGATTTATAGGCTGATTAGACTGTGGGTGGTGAATCAGAGGGAGGAGGCAGAGATGGATAGAGCCAAGATTTCCAGCCTGGGCCCATCAAGGGACCTCAAGCATGAGACCATGTCGAATTCTCCTCTGCAAACCCGGTCCCTGAGGTTCCTGGAACTTTGCAAACCTCTGTAAGTGTTTGTTGAGTGAATAAGTGGGGGAGAGATTTAGGGACCATAGCAGGGATGAAACTGGGAGACAGATTCCAGGTGGATCGCAGGAGCGACCCGCAGGACTGGCTCTGAATGGCCCTCTGGGCCTGCTGCCCCCCCCTCATCGATCTTCCCACCCCTTAGGAGCGAAGATGGAGCCTGCAAGATCGAGAGAAGTAACAGGAGCACGCGGGTGAAGCGCAGACTGAGCTCCCTCCGCAGTCGAGTCACCAGGCAGAAGGAGAAGGTCAGGGAAGACCCCCTCTGCCTTCCCCAGCTTGTCAGGGTGCCCCTGGCCCCGGAGCCCAGTGATTCGAGGTGTCTGGATGCACAGAGCATTCTAAGGCCCACCTCCATCCCACACAGGGGAAGAGCCCAGTGCCTCCAAAGGACAAGGGCCAGGATGCTCGAGATAGGAAGGAATGTGTCAATGGGCACCAGCTGGCACATGGAACCTTCTCTGGCCAATCCAGCTGCCCCCTGTGCGGCAAGCCCTTTCTGAGCTCTGGTAAGTCTGGTGGCCCAGTCCGTCACCCAGGATGGTGGCCACCTTCTCTCCTTTACTTCCTTGAAATCACTCTCACAGCCTCCTTCGCTCTTTGCATCCTTGTCCCATTTCACCCTTGCCAAGTGAGGGCTCACTTCGACTTCGGAGAGCACGAGGGATTGCTCTCTAAGGCAGGGCCCATTTAATTAGCTCCGGGCCCGAAAAAATACCTCTAACTCTCGGCTTTTGTCATTGCAAAAATCCAGACTCGGGCAGTGTATTCGTTAGCTAAGGCTGCATAACAAAGTACCACAATCTGGGTGCCTTAAACAACAGAAATGCATTGTCTCGAAATGTTGGAGAAGTCCAAGATCAAGGTGTCTGTAGGGCCAGGCTCCCACTGAAAGCACCAGGAAGGGTCCATGCCAGGCCTCTCCCCTGGCTTCTTGTGGTTCCTTGGCTTGTGGCAGCAGAACTCCAGTCCTCACGTGATATTGTCCCTGTGTGTGCGCGTGTCTATGCCCCAATTCCCCCTTTTTATAAAGACACCAGGCATATGGTATTGGCTCCCTACCACCACAGTATCACCTCATCTGAGCTAATTACATCTGCAATGACTCTGTTCCCAAATAAGGCCACCTTCCAAGGGACTGGGGGCACTAGGACTGCAACATATGAATTTGGGTGGAAGGGACACAATTCACCCCATACCAGGCAGCTTCCTGCATCCTAGGGCTCTCCAGGGAATAATAGCAAGGGTGTCTGCTCAGGAAGGAGTATTGGGTGCCAGAGGCCCTAGAGGGAGATGGCTCCGGCCTTTTCTGGGATTTAGAATTTTGCCTTTTTGAAAACAGAGCCCCACTTCATAGGGGACGGAGAGGAGGCATCAGCAACTGCATGTTAGAAAAGTTGTGTGTGCAGTTCACAGCGAGAATTCAGACTGTAGACTGCGGCAGGCGGGAATTGGGCTCGTGCAGGGTTCCTCGAGACCGTGGCACTATTGATATTAGGGGCCCGGTGATTCTCTGTTGTGGGGGCTGTTCCGTGCATTGGAGGATGCTGAGCAACATCCCTGGCCTCCACCTGCTAGATGCCAGTAGCATCCCTCCCATGAGTCGTGACAACCAAAAATGTCTCCAGACGTGGCCACATGTCCCCTGGGGGGCAGGCTTGTCCTGGGTGAGAATCGATGGGCTGGTGAGAAGGAGAACAGGCCCTAGGGTGGGCCGTGCAGTAAGAACCACACCTCCACCCACAGGGCAGGTGACTCCAGGTGACCTGATCCTCAGGTTTTGCGTTTCTTGGCTTTACTGGTTCCACACGTGAGCCTTTTTCCTTCTGCTTCATTCTTCCCTCTTTCCGGAGCACCGTCTTGCTGGCTGTGGGTGTCCTGCTGGTGGCTGCTGTTGTCAGGGCTGTCCCGTTTTGAGCTTTCTCTCTATCAATCTCCAGCCCGCTTTCTGACGCGTAAGCTGTCTTCAGCCAAGCTGGTCTGGGCTTGGGAAAGTCTTCAGTGCACTGCTGACTTCAGCGTCTTGAAGTCGTTTTAAGCAGCAGGTGACTTCCTGTTTCTGCTGACTTCTTGTCCTCCTCTTGGGGGGCTGAGGTCTGCTGGATACGAGGGGCCTTCCTGGAGGGCCAGGATCAAACCCCTGGAGCCCCATCTCAGGCACCAGGTTCAAGGGGCAGGTGGGAGGTTGGCAGAAGGAAGGATCCAGAACCGAGCCACAGACAGTACACAAATGAATGGCTGCTTTCACGCTACCAAGACAGAGTTGAGTACTTTGCAACATAATCTGCGAAGCTCAAAATATTTACTGCATGACCCTTTACAGAAAAAGTTTGTCGATCTCTGAGCTAGCTTACCTAGCAGCAAGGAAAACCCAGGAAAGTGACTTACCATAGCCAGAGGATCAATAAACCCCTTACAAATATGACCTTAAAAGACCAGAGTTCCAACAGGGACTAATTTCCTGGACATCACTCTGCAATCATATAAGACTTTGCACAAATAATAAGAAGAATGGGTAACATTACTGTACTGAGCACAAACACCCATGTACTTTAAACGGATTTCCTCAGTAAGTCTCAGAACAACTCTAGAAGATAGGTGCTGGTACTCAACCCTCTTACAGATGAGGAAACTGAGGCCCAAAGGAGTTAAGTTCTTGCCCAACGTCACACAGTCAGGATTCGAACTCAGAGCCTGAGCCCCTGATCACCAACCCACTACCACATCATGCCACTTGCTTTTTTAAGAAAATAAACTTTTTTTTTTAGTTGTACCAAAGGCAAAACTTTCTATTTCAAAAGAACACTAAATGACAGATACACGAAGAGCAAAAGTTTAATATAACAAAGATGCTTTGTTGTTTGATGCGCTTATTGTCAGTATTTGGGGCAGTGTGTAAGGTTTTCCCCAAAAATGGCATTAATAATAGCTCTGCACAATAATATTTAAAATTACGGGGAAATGAAAACACCTTTCTGCCCTATCTTCACAACCTGCTCTAAAGACAGCAAACTCGTGCTCAGTTGTTTTTCCTTTGGTTTAAAATAAGCTACCGGTAATTCTAAACCAAGCGAAAATGTATTGTTCTTGGATCGAATATAAGCATTCGTATTTGCAAAAATGCTTTGCAATGTGTCCTTGGTTTCTATGAAAAGCCTAAAATAGCTACTGAGAGACTAGAGTTTATTTTCAAATTCTGTGACTGGCTTCCAATAATCTCTTATCAGTGGACTTACTGGCAAAATACCAGATATTAAGGATCAGATTGGATTCTTTGGTATAAGCATAAAACTGTTATTGATTGCTTTCCGTGGGTGGCATAAACCAGTGAGTAACCAAGTCTAGAATACAATGCAAGACAGGCAGGAAAGATAACTTAACATCCTGTTTTGTTACAGGAAAAATCAACGCTAAAAATATACTCTAGAGAAACTAACACCTACTTAGAGATTTTAACATTATAGCAGACCAAAAGGTCAAACTTCAAAAAGACCACACTTGTAACTTGTAGCTGGAATATTTTGGTACATTTTGGCATTATACCTAAATCTAGAGTAGATAACTATCTAAGGAGTCTTCGTGCCATCTTGGCACAAGAGACTAAGTCCTCCTACCCCTCTGGGGGCTGGGGAACCCCTTTTCTTCCCTAAACTTCTAATTTTAGATTTACAGAAAAGTCCAAAGAAAGCAGAGAGAATTCCTTTATATTTTTCACCTGCTTTCCCCTCATGTTAACATCTTATATGACCACAGTACATTTGTCACAACTCAGGAACCAACATTGGTACGGTATTATTAACCAAGCTACAGATTTTATTCAGCTTTCACCAGTTTTGAGGTTTTTTTTTTTATTAGGATTCTCTTTCTGTTCCAGGATCCAATTCAGGATGCTACATTATCTTTAATCACCCAGTCACCTCAGTCTCTCTGGTCTGTGATGGTTTTAGTCTCTTCTTATTGTTCATGACTTTGACGGTTTTAAGAAGTATTAGCCAAGTGTCTTGTACGATGTCTCCCAGTCCGGGTTTGTCTGGTGTTTTCTCATAATTAGACAGGGGTTATGGGTTGGGGGAACCTTCTTGCCTCATCACATCAGGGGGTAAGTGCCATTCACATGATATCCCTGGGGATGTTAACCTTCATCACCTGGTTAAGGTAACATCTGCCAGGTTACTGTTTTTCCCTTTCTCTGCTCTATCCTTTGGAAGGGAGTCACTCGATCCAGCCTACTCTCAGGATGGTGGGAATCAAGCTCCTCCTCCTGGAGACTTCATTGGATTTTCAGGACCATCCTTGGAGATCAAGGAAGATTTGAGTTTGCGTAAAAGAAATGATATGGTAGCGCTCAGCATGGTGCCTGGTACCTATGGGCAATGGTAGCGTCTATCATCACCATTATTTGTCTTTGTTGTTGAGCAAAGCTAGCATCTAAATCACAGACCTTAACCCTGGGCTTTGACCGCAGCCCCCACACCCGTCTAAGGAGGCAGGTGGGACCAGAACAGCTGCGTCTCACTCCCAACAGCCTGAGAGCAGGCACCACAAGCCTACCTACCATTGGAGGTATTCAGAGCCAGAGGTTACTGTCTGTCCCCTAGAGGAAAGTGCCTCCCACAGTAAGTTCAACAGAGCAAGGAATGAGTCACTCTCCAGGTAATTATGGAAGGTGGGTCTCCAGGGTAAGACTGCGATGCTTTCCCAGAGACCAGCCCCACCGATGGAACACCATTCCAGACAATCCTGTTCCCAGCCTTGCCCTTCGTGGTCTGACCCCGCCTACTCCTCCACCCTTCTCTCCCGCGACTACACCACCCAGACTCCACGGCCCAGCCACCCTGAAGTCTCGTGGCTGCCCATGCACATCAGCTGCTCCTTGCTCATTCAGAGCTGTTCCTGGAACTCCCTCTGCCACCTAACTCTTACTCATCCATCAAGACAAAGAGCAGGTCCACCTCCCCCAGGAAGCCTGCATTAGGTGACTGTGTCAGGAAGTGTCTGAGTGTCTCTTAGGCCAACTGCTGTCAGCTCAGGGCCATTTTGCCCCACAAGGGACATTTGGCAATGTCTGGAGACATTTTTGGTTGTCAGGACTGGGGGTACACTGACATCTAGTGGGTAGAGGCCAGGGATGCTCTTCAACAATCTTCAATGCACAAGACAGATAATTATCCAGCACCAATTGTCAATAGTGCTGAAACTGAGAAACTCTGCCATAGGCTTAAGCCCCCTGTGTCTCCTTAGCTCTTAGCAGAATCCCTGGCCCATAATAAGGACTCAATAAATGCAGAATGGTTGGATGGATAAAAGAAAGACAAGAGATACCTCTCCTTCCTGCCAGGCTCCTTGAGAAAGTTGGTTTCTACATTTAGGGGAGAATTGTGTCAACCTGAAGGTTTCTATAACCAAGGTGGCTATAGAAATAAGGATCATGCCACTTTTCCTGCTTAAAATCTTGAATGCCTCCCCATTGCCTTTGGAATAGAGTCCAAAAGTCATAGCAGTTCAGAGA